ATTATATATATATATATATATATTTTTAAAGTTATGGATTTATATCCTTTATTTTTGCAATTTTATTGAATTTTTACATATAAATTTTTACTCTACTTAAAAAGTTATGGGTTCAATTGAACCCGTTGGTAGAACACTATATCCGCCTTTGACCGCAACAACCGTAGATAAAGAGGCGGAACACCCACGACTACAAGATCCTGGATCCGCCACTGCTTCAGACATGATGATTATTCATACCAGATAATTATATGAATAAACTATATAATCCAGATTTTATAGCTTTTCCATGCCCAATATGTAACAATTGTTAATCGAGTTGCTGAACATATGAGAAATTTGAAGCGCCTAATTGTTAGAAGGTTGTAATTTAAACAGTGGACGTGGAGGTTATAGGAACAGTAGCTCTGATGAAGAAGTAAACGGAGGAGAAGAAGGAGGAGAAATGGGGCTGAAGTTATTTAAGAAGTGGGTACAAGTTAAAAGTTTAAAAAAAATGGGTATAGGTTAAATGGGGGCGACCAAATAGGGCGCCCCGTGCAATTTTTACGGAATTATATACATGTTTTTCCCAAATAAAGTTAGAAAATATGTTTTGAAAACGTATATATATATATATATATATATATATATATATATATATATATATGCGTATATAACGTCATCTGGTCATGGATCAATGTACATATATAATGTCCAAACACATTTTCATCTTCAAACCAAACTTCACCCAAATCAGATTTTTCAAAATAAATTTGGAATCTATGACCAAACGCTAGCTAAGAATTTTCAAAACAAATTTGGGAATCTATTGCCAAACGCTAGCTTAGTGTTTGTAAATATTTTGGCCCAAAACTAGCTATTGAGCTGATTTTGAAATTTGGAATTTTGCTAAAATATAGGTAAAATCTATTACCGAATATGTGTTTGTAAAATAAAATCCAGATTTATTTTGATAAAATTTATGGCCAAATGGATCTTAAATCACCTGTAATGTTTGGGATGAAAAGGGCAGATGTTAAATTGCAACGATTTTAATTTCCTCCTCTAATGATTTTCTTTTGTCACTTATATTTCTGTTCGTTAAGAATGGCAACTTTGTGTTGTCAGACATACATACAACCATCTCTTTACTCCAGTAAGTATCCTCTGTGCACCTTTTCTCTTTCTTTCTCTCTATATATATATCATTACTAAAAAACCGACTAGTTCTTGTCCGAATTTTGCATCGAATTCCGTTGGAAATTTGGAAAAAAGAATTGCGTTTTTATTATTTTTAGTTATCGACCGATTCGGTCAAAAATATTAATTATGTATTTATTTTATTATTTAAATTTGTGATCGAATCAGTCACAAATTTACCAACCAATTCAGTCGCAAATCCCTTAAATTCAAACGCATCCTTGATTTTTCATTTTGCGACCAAATCTGTTGGAAACATTCGACCGATCGGTCGCAAATTATTTGTGACCATGTGTTTTTTGACCGACCTTTTTCGATCGGTAATCCGTCAGAAAAGCTCAATTTTCGAGCGACAAGACTTACGCTGCATAAATTATTTTTTTTATAATCGTTCATATTATTATATAGGGTCAAATATGCAATGCTATGTAGCCGCTCAAAAGAGGGATATGTGGAACCTAAGACGGGGGATAACTAGAATCAAAGGCAATAGTCTCATCTGTCATTGGAAAGAATAACACTTATAAGGATGCAATAAATACTCTTTGCCCGGTAGCATTCAATGGAGAATATTCCACAGTATTTAGTATGTCGCCCGTTACAAGAATTTTGACATTTATATTCACCATTACATTTTCATCAATGTCCCTCATAATTGGCATTAAATGGCACGATCCTTGGACCTCTTTCCCTAGACCTGGCTATAAATATTGAGCTCTGTTATCATTGAAATGAGAGAAATTTTCTGGTAAACTAATACTACAATCTACAAAAAAATCTTATACAGTTTTATCTTCTTATTTTTTGTGCTGATTATTGTTCTTATTGTAACACTCCTCAAATTTATATTAATTTCAAGACTCACTAAATATAGAATTTAATTTTCCCCCTTAAATTATACTTTTATTACGGATTTAAACCCTATTTTGAGTTACATCTATATTTATAAATAAGTGGCTATACAATTAGGGAATATTAATAATTTTAATGTTGTTAATTATTAAAAGTAGGTATCATTAATTATTAGTTAAGAAAAAAAAACAATAATAAAAAAATGGACAAAATAACCAAAGCCCTTAAGCCCATAAAATCTGTTGAAAAGCGTAAGCAGGCTTAAAGCCTTAAAACTTCGAACGTAAAAGAAACCCAAGCAGACTTCTTCTGACTTCGCACGTCCCAGTGAAAATACTCACGCCAGCAACGGAAAATTCTAGGGTTCTTATCAATCACTAATTCTTGAATTCAGGTATGTAAATTTTCCTATTGTCAATTATCCTACAGTGGTAATAGGTAAGAATTGAATAGCTAATCCCCATCTTCCTAATAAATTGCATATTTAGGTGTAGTACTTTAAAATTGATCAAGATGCATTGTTGTTGTAGAATCAATTGTTTCACTGGTGTCAATTGGACTGGGGCCTACGTATTGGCTCGAGAAATTTTGAGGTGAGTTGATATAACCCTTTACTAAAGTGGTTTAACTCACACAAAAGCACGCACACGAGATGTTTGATGAAGATTAATAACGCTTGTGGTATTAACTGGACTAGGACATTAGTCATGACTTTATCTGTATACCAAGGCAAGTTGAATATTTCACAAGTGTGTTATTCTTTTTATTATTCTCAAGATAATTTAATAAAACCTGTAACATTACTTTGGTCATAAAAATTGGATTTCAAGTCAGATTTTGCATTTGGCAAATGACTCAGAATAGCACTGTGACAAGAAGTGCGATGGTAGGGAACTTTAAGTCGTGTTGCATATTGATGCATATATGTCGGCTTCTTCGTAAACTTAACAATTTTTGATATCTTTTAAATGTTTTCAATAGTTCCTCTTCAAATACTTCTATTGTAATTTATATGTAATGCCTTACATTTAAGGATATCAGTATGAGTATGTATAAAAGATTTAGACTTGAAAAGTCACAAGAAGAAGTTTTAGAAAGAAAAGATTATTGGGAGTATCCTTTGTTCTGAGAAGGGGTCATCGTCCAGGCCGAGGGTCCTCACCAAGGCGTTGACTTCCTAAAACTACTTGTGCCAAAGTAGGGAGCACACGAGCCGAGGGTCTCGTTGCTGAGAAATTACTTAGCCATGCTAAGGTATGATACATGAGCGATGAGAACCATGAAGCGAGTGGCACCTCGTGGATTGGGCCTATTCGATCAGGTTGGGATCGAACCCGTGCCTATCACACGGTGACTGAGACAGAATTAAGTCAGGATAGTTGGTACTCTCAAAGTATAAAGTGAAGTATTTTTTTTAAAGAAAGAAAAAGAAAAGAATTTCTTTTAGAATATTCATAAATTGCTATTATGCAATTATTTTAGAATTATTCTTATAAGCTTTATGTTTTACATGCATTTAGAACCTTTGCTCATAATGCATATATTATTAAAGTTTCTCCCCCTGTTGTTGAGACTCACTGAGTAGAATGGATGGTACTGACGTTCTCTTTTGGGAACCAACGTTGGTCTGCAGTACAACGTAGGAACCGGATTTGCAGGCGAGCAGGCTACGAGTTAGGACTTCCTTCTCTTCCAGTGCTATTGGTGAGCTCCGCTTTTGTTCGTGGAGTATTCCTTAGAGTCATCTTTTTTTAGTTATTTCTTTGTTTACTTAGAGAACTGTCCAGAAAATCTCATGTCCTGAGCAGTGCGTCAGTTTATCAGTAGAGGCTTCATAGACATAGTCATTGGGTTGAGATTCAGATGTTATTTTATAATAACTTAGTAATAATTCAGTAGTTACTACGAATAAAGTTTTGGAGTTGATTTATTTAAATATTTAAATTAATCAAAAGTATTTTGTTAGGGTATTGCCTTGTTGCAAGTAAAGTTGGAGTTATAATAGATTTTATAAGCAGAGATGGTTCGCTCGGTCATATTTAGTGATTGAGTGCCGGTCTCGGCTTGTTCAGAAAATGGGTCGTGACAAACTTGGTATCAGAGCCTCAGGTTTATGGAGTCCTAGGGGTCTATGAAGCCGTGTTAGTAGAGTCTTGTTTATGGGTATGAAGCGCGCCATACTTATAAACAGGAGGCTACAAGCATTTAGGAAAAGTCTCATTTTTCTCATACTTTAGATCGTGCAGTAGATCCTACCTCTAAGAAATTATCTAATGTATTCGTTTCTCCAAAACTCGCAGAAATGGCTCGTACTCGCAACTCTGACACCGACACTCAGGATGCTGCTCAAGAAACTATTGCTACTATTGTGGCTCAAGGCAGAACTAAAAAGGCTTCAACTCAGAAAAGGAAGAGTAAATCCACAAAGGGGGTTCAAGTACCCCGGGTTGAACATGAAGAAGGGGTGGAGCATAATGATCCAGTACCTCAGGATCCAGTACCGCCCCCAATAGCAGCTCCGGCTCAGGCAACTATATCTCCCGATGTGGGTCAGATGTTTAATGCTGTCAACAGTGCTATGGAGATGTTTAAAGCCTTTATGGCCAACCAGAACGAGAGAAGAGATGAGATTCCACCTCAATCAAATAGACAGAACAATTCTGAGTCCTCAAGAGTGAATGAATTTTTGAAGTTGAGTCCTCCAGTGTTCCATGGTTCTATAGTTGATGAAGATCCGATGTTGTGGCTGGAGGGTGTCAAGAAAGCCCTCCGAGTGATGAAAGCATTTGATGATGAAGCTGTGGAGCTAGCTGCTTACCAGCTTAGAGATGTGGCCGGCGCTTGGTTTGAGATGTGGGAAAAGGAAAGAGATGAAGATGATGGTCCGCCTACTTGGGAAGAATTTGAAGAGGCCTTCATGGCTAACTTTATCCCAGAAGAGGATAGGGAAGCTAAGGCTACAGAGTTCGAACAGCTCAAGCAAGGGAATAAAAGTGTGCAAGAGTACTACATGGAATTCATAAGGTTAGCTAAGCATGCTCCTCACATGGTTAAGACTGAAAAAGCAAAGATTCGCAGGTTTGTTGGCGGTTTAGCTTACCACATTAAGGATACGACATCAGCTGCAGCAGTAGGGATGACAGCCTTCTCCTCTGTTGTGGGATTTGCCAAGCACTTAGAAAAAGACAGACAACAAAGGAGAGAAGAAAAAGAGCATAACAAGAAAGCCCGGACAACGGGCAGGTTTAATGGTACATCCAGCGGAGGTGGAAGGGATTCCTCTAATAAGGAGTCATTAGCACCAGCTCAGTCCAGTCATCAGTCAGGTGGTGGGTCTTCCTTCAGACGTACTCAGAGTTATGGAAATCAGTCTCGCCAGAATCAGAATTTTAGGACATCATCCTCACATAGCCAGAGTCATGCTGAGCAACATTCACACCAACAAGGTCTTTGTGGAACATGTAAGCGGCAACATTCAGGTCAGTGCAAGCTCGGGTTTCATGGTTGCTACCATTGTGGAGACATTGGTCATATAAAGGCCAACTGCCCAAAGTTGCGACGTAATTTCAGTGGTGGATCAACTCGTCCTTCTAGTTCCTCAGCTACTGCAGTTGCACCACCTCAGGCTCGTGGTTCTCATAATCAGACCGGGCATGGAGCAGGCAGAGGTGCAGACCGAGTTACTCAGGGAGGGGGACAACCCCGTTTGTTTGCTACACTTGATCGTCAGAGTGCAGAGGCATCTGCAGAAGTTATTACAGGTATACTTTTAGTCTGCTCACATAATGCTTATGCCATAATGGATCCAGGTTCAACGTTTTCATATGTGACTCCATACTTTGCAATTAACCTCGGACTAGAACCTGAACAACTTAGTGAGCCATTCCTAGTATCTACTCCAGTTGGCGAGTCAGTGAAAGTCACCAGAGTCTATAGAGGTTGTATAGTTTCAGTCCAAGGTCGCAACACCAAAGCCGATCTCATAGAGTTAGAAATGGTGGATTTTGATGTGATCATGGGTATGGATTGGTTGTCTTCCTGCTATGCCATGTTAGATTGTCATGCCAAGATAGTCAGGTTCCAATTTCCAAATGAAGAAGTCTTAGAGTGGAAGGGTAGTTCAGCATCGCTTGTAGGTAAGTTTATTTCTTACCTTAAGGCACAACGGATGATCGGTAAGGGGTGTCTCGCCTATTTGGCTCACATTATTAATCCAGAATCAGAACCACCAGCTCTTCAGTCAGTGCCAGTTGTTAGAGAATTTCCAGAAGTTTTCCCAGATGACCTTCCCGGACTTCCTCCCGAAAGAATCATAGACTTTGGCATTGATCTCATGCCAGGCACTCAGCCCATATCTATACCTCCTTATAGGATGGCTCCAGCAGAACTTAATGAGTTGAGAGAACAGTTGAAAGACCTTCTTGACAAGGGCTTCATCAGACCGAGTGTTTCACCGTGGGGTGCCCCGGTTCTGTTTGTCAAGAAGAAAGATGGGTCTCTCAGAATGTGTGTCGACTATCGGCAGTTGAATAAAGTTACCATTAAGAACAAGTACCCACTGCCAAGAATTGATGATTTATTTGATCAACTTCAGGGTGCAAAGTACTTTTCAAAAATAGACTTGAGGTCGGGGTACCATCAGTTGAGAATCAGAAAAGAGGATATATCTAAAACAGCCTTTAGAACTCGCTACGGGCACTATGAATTTCTAGTGATGTCCTTCGGGTTGACAAATGCTCCAGCTGCATTCATGGACCTCATGAACAGAGTTTTCAAGCCATTCCTGGATACCTTTATTATTGTGTTTATAGACGATATTTTGGTGTACTTTAAGAGCAAGCAAGATCATGCAGAACACCTCAGAATAGCCTTGCAGACCCTAAAGGAGAATGAGCTTTATGCCAAGTTTTCAAAATGTGAGTTCTGGTTGCAGTCAATGGCATTCTTAGGCCACGTGGTATCTAGTGAAGGAATAAAAGTAGACCCTCAGAAGACAGAAGCAGTCAAGAACTGGCCTAGGCCGACAACGCCAACCGAAATCAGGAGTTTCTTGGGGTTAGCTGGCTACTATAGAAGGTTTGTGGAGGGGTTTTCCTCACTTGCAGCTCCATTAACTAAGTTGACTCAGAAAACGGTTAAGTTCCAATGGTCAGACGCTTGTGAGCAGAGTTTTCAAGAGTTAAAGAAGAGGTTGACCACTGCACCTGTGTTAACCTTGCCGATAGGTTCGGGTGGGTTCACAGTGTATTGTGATGCCTCCAGAGTGGGCCTGGTTGTGTTCTTATGAAAAATGCAAAAGTTATTGCTTATGCTTCCAAGCAGTTAAAGAATCATGAAAAGAACTACCCCACACACGACTTGGAGCTTGCAGCAGTGGTGTTTGCATTAAAAATATGGCGACACTACCTTTATGGTGAGCATTCTGAAGTGTTTACAGATCACAAAAGCCTCCAGTACATTTTCAAGCAAAAAGAACTAAATTTGAGACAGAGAAGGTGGCTCGAGCTATTGAAAGATTATGACATCAATATCCTTTATCACCCGGGCAAAGCTAATGTGGTAGCAGATGCACTTAGTAGGAAGTCAATGGGTGTCTTGGCCCATCTTGCAGTACAAAGGCGATCTTTGGGTCGAGAAATTCAAAAACTAGCAAATGATGGAATTAGATTGGATGAGACCGAAGAAGGAGATATAACTGCTTATGCCTTAGCGCAATCCTCCCTTGTTGCTCATGTTAAGGCTAAGCAAGACGAAGATCCATACTTAGTGAAATTAAAAGAAGGAGTCAGAAGCAAAGAAATCACTGCTTTCACTCTAGGAAGTGACGGAGTTTTGAAGTTGAATGATCGGTTATGTGTGCCTGATGTAGATGGTCTTAGGAAGGCCATAATGGAGGAAGCTCACAGTTCGAGGTACTCTATCCACCCAGGTGCTACCAAAATGTATCTAGATTTGAAAGAATTGTATTGGTGGAAAGGCATGAAGAAACAAGTAGCGGATCATGTGGCTAAATGTTTAAATTGCCAGCAAGTCAAAGCCGAGCATCAGAGGCCTGGTGGCCTAGCTCAAGACATAGAGATACCACAGTGGAAGTGGGAGATGATTAATATGGATTTCGTAGTAGGTCTACCTCGCACATACCGTAAGCATGATTCAATTTGGGTTATTGTAGACCGACTGACAAAGTCCGCACATTTCCTACCAGTAAAGACGACAGATTCTGCAGAGCAGTATGCGCAGTTGTACATCAAAGAAATAGTCCGATTGCATGGTACTCCAGTTTCAATCATATCTGACAGAGGCCCTTAGTTCACAACGCATTTTTGGCAGGCATTTCAGAAAAGATTAGGTACCAAGGTCAATTTAAGCATCGCTTTTCATCCATAGACCGATGGCCAGGCAGAAAGGACCATTCAGACTCTCGAAGATATGCTGCGTGCGTGTGTTATAGATTTTGGAGGTAACTGGGATGATCACTTGCCACTTATAGAATTTGCTTACAATAACAGCTATCAGGCCAACATTGGTATGGCTCCCTATGAGGCGTTGTATGGGCGGAGATGTAGGTCTCCAGTGGGTTGGTTTGAGCCAGCAGAGGTGCCATTGATTAGTCCAGAGTTTGTCTGTGAGGCCTTGGAGAAAGTTCAGCTAATTAGAGAAAGGCTTAAAGCGGCTCAGAGTCGTCAAAATTCTTATTCTGACAAGAGGCATCGTGAGTTAGAGTTCATGGTTGGTGATAAGGTGTTTTTGAAAGTTTCACCAATGAAAGTAGTTATGAGGTTTGGTAAGAAAGGTAAACTTAGCCCTAGATTTATCTGACCTTATGAAATTCTAGAAAAGAAAGGAAACGTGGCTTATAAGATAGCGCTACCCGTTGAGTTGTCCTTTGTTCACCCTGTCTTTCATGTGTCTATGCTTAGAAAGTACATTCATGATGAGTCGCATATAATACCTGCCGATACCATAGAAATTAAAGAAGGTTTGACTTATGAAGAGGTACCTATAGAAATTCTCGATAGACAAGTAAGAAAGTTGAGAACAAATGATATAGCATCAGTAAAAGTTTTGTGGAGTAATCATGATTCAAAAGAAGCTACGTGGATATGAGGAAGAAGTATCCTTATTTATTTGAGTAACAAGGTATGTGAACCTAGGTTTAGCTTGACATTTACATTTCATTTATTAAATGCAAGTTAGCAAGTGTTTATGTCCTTCCTAGATTATATTTAGTTGTTGTAGTGATTTAGTTTACGCCAGAGTATATTTAATTCATTAAAGTGATTACTTTTGCTAAAGTGTTATGCTTTAGATAATTGTTAGTTATTGTGGTACCTCCTTGCCGGAGTGTGAGTAATTAATTTATGAGCTGTGTATGGTGCCTATGAATGGCCTATTATGGTATATTTGGTTGTTGTTGGTGTAGTTGTGGTATTTGTAACAGGGATATTATTTTTGGATAGTCCAATTTACAATGGAAATTCTGCCGAAATTTTTAAAAATTTAGGGAGTTAACCAAAATTTTGAGTCCCTTGGAAAAGTGAGTAGTGCTAAGAAAACTTAAGAGGTTCAAGGACCTAAGGAATGATTGTTAGCTTAAGAATAAGGCCCTAGCAACATTCGAGGACGAATATTTTTAAGGAGGGAAGATTGTAACACTCCTCAAATTTATATAAATCTCAAGACTCGCTAAATATAGAATTTAATTTTCCCCCTTAAATTATACTTTTATTACGGATTTAAACCCTTGTGAGAAATTTTGAGTTACATCTATATTTATAAATAAGTGGCTATACAATTAGGGAATATTAATAATTTTAATGTTGTTAATTATTAAAAGTAGATATCATTAATTATTAGTTAAGAAAAAAAATAATAATAAAAAAAATGGACAAAATAACCAAAGCCCTTAAGCCCATAAAATCTGTTGAAAAGCATAAGCAGGCCTAAAGCCTTAAAACTTCGAACGTAAAAGAAACCCAAGGAGACTTCTTCTGACTTCGCACGTCCCAGTGAAAATACTCACGCCAGCTACGGAAAATTCTAGGGTTCTTATCAATCACTAATTCTTGAATTCAGTTATGTAAATTTTTCTATTGCCAATTATCCTACAGTGGTAATAGGTAAGAATTGAATAGCTAATCCCCTTCTTCCTAATAAATTGCATATTTAGGTGTAGTACTTTTGATCAAGATGCACTTTTGTTGTAGAATCAATTGTTTGACTGGTGTCAATTGGACTGGGGCATACGTATTGGCTCGAGAAGTTTTGAGGTGAGTTGATATAACCCTTTACTAAAGTGGTTTAACTCACACACAAGATTAGTCATGACTTTATCTGTATACCAAGGCAAGTTGAATATTTCATAAGTGTGTTATTCTTTTTATTATTCTCAAGATAATTTAATAAAACCTGTAACATTACTTTGGTCATAAAAATTGGATTTCAAGTCAGATTTTGCATTTGGCAAATGACTCAGAATAACACTGTGACAAGAAGTGCGATGGTAGGGAACTTTAAGTCGTGTTGCATATTGATGCATATATGTCGGCTTCTTCGTAAATTTAACAATTTTTGATATCTTTTAAATGTTTTCAATAGTTCCTCTTCAAATACTTCTATTGTAATTTATATGTAATGCCTTACATTTAAGAATATCAATATGAGTATGGATAAAAGATTTAGACTTGAAAAGTCACAAGAAGAAGTTTTAGAAAAAAAAAGATTATTGGGAGTATCCTTTGTTCTGAGAAGGGGTCATCGTCCAGGCCGAGGGTCCTCACCAAGGCGTTGACTTCCTGAAACTACTTGTGCCAAAGTAGGGAGCACACGAGCCGAGGGTCTCATTGCTGAGAAATTACTTAGCCATGCTAAGGTATGATACATGAGCGCTGAGAACCATGAAGCGAGTGGCACCTCGTGGATTGGGCCTATTCGATCAGGTTGGGATCGAACCCGTGCCGATCACACGGTGATTGAGACAGAATTAAGTCAGGATAGTTGGTACTCTCAAAGTATAAAGTGAAGTATTTTTTTTAAAGAAAGAAAAAGAAAAGAATTTCTTTTAGAATATTCATAAATTGCTATTATGCAATTATTTTAGAATTATTCTTATAAGCTTTATGTTTTACATGCATTTAGAACCTTTGCTTATAATGCATATATTATTAAAGTTTCTCCCCCTGTTGTTGAGACTCACTGAGTACAATAGATGGTACTGACATTCTCTTTTGGGAACCTACGTTGGTCTGCGGTACAACGTAGGAACCGGATTTGCAGGCGAGCAGGCTACGAGTTAGGACTTCCTTCTCTTCCAGTGCTATTGGTGAGCTCCACTTTTGTTCGTGGAGTATTCCTTAGAGTCATCTTTATTTAGTTATTTCTTTGTTTACTTAGAGAACTGTCTAGAAAATCTCATGTCCTGAGCAGTGCGTCAGTTTATCAGTAGAGGCTTCATAGACATAGTCATTGGGTTGAGATTCAGATGTTATTTTATAATAACTTAGTAATAATTCAGTAGTTACTACGAATAAAGTTTTGGAGTTGATTTATTTAAATGTTTAAATTAATCAAAAGTATTTTGTTAGGGTATTGCCTTGTTGCAAGTAAAGTTGGAGTTATAATAGATTTGATAAGCAGAGATGGTTCCCTCGGTCATATTTAGTGATCGAGTGCCGGTCTCGGCCTGTTCAGAAAATGGGTCGTGACCCTTATGATTGTTGCGTCCGGAAGCTTCATTACCAGAATTTTTATTTTTGTTATTTCGTCTTCCTATCAAGGCTAAGTATTATATATCTTCAATTGTCTTGTTATTTCAGGATCAAATTTGTGAGCACCTAATTTTTGACAATATTTAATTTTTATGTAAATATTTTTAGGAGTTTTAACCTACAATTTTTAGCTTTGTTACATTTTATTATAAGATAAAAATATAAAATTTTAAAAGGTCAATTATTACTATTATTATTATTATTATTAAAAAAATAAAAAATAAAATAAAAAAATCCGAAAATATTAATTTTTTTTTATATTTCGGTTGGTTTTAAATAATTGAAAAAGGAAAGAATGCGGGAATTAAAAAAAAAAAGTTAAAAGTAGCTGAAAATTAAAAAATCAAAAGTAAAAGAAAGTTGAATTTTTAAAAGAAAAGTAAAAGAAAGTGGCCTTTTCTTTAAAAAAAATAAAAGAAAGTGGAAAATTAAAAAATAAAAAGTAGAAAAAAGTGGAAAATTAAAAAATAAAAGTAATTAAAGTTGTACTTTAAAAAATAAAAGCAAAGAAAGGTGGGGATTTATTTTACAAAAAAAGAAAAAGCAAAATATAAAAGAAAAGTAAAAGAAAGTGGCCTTTTCTTTAAAAAAATAAAAGAAAAGTGGAAAATTAAAAAATAAAAAGTAGAAAAAAGTGGAAAATTAAAAAAATAAAAGTAATTAAAGTTGTAATTTAAAAAATAAAAGCAAAGAAAGGTGGGTATTTATTTTATAATAAAAAAGAAAAAGTAAAATATATGTGGGATTTCTTTTAATTAAAAAATTAAAAATAAATAAAAATAAATAAAAAGGAAATCTGAAAATTTTCGAAATTTTTGGCTATAAATAGAAGAGATAATTTGAGAAAAAAGAGGAGGAGGAAGGAGAGAAAAGAAGGAGAGAATTGAGAGAAAATAATTTTTTTTTCTTTTACGCTACGACAATTTCCTGTCATTCTTTCTTCCTCTTTATTTCGAAAATTTCCAGCAATTAAACACCCCAAAAAACCCAACAAAAATACTTCAAAGCATCCCTTTTTACACGCCAAAGAGTGTTGTTAACGGTCGAAGTCGAGGATTCCGTTGAAGCTCTGTTCACCGGTTTTGATGATCATATTCGCTTATGCTTGTTCGGTGTTCGTCTGAGTTATTGTACATATTCTTGGCAACTCGTTTAATTGGAAATCTTGCATTAAAAGGTTTATTCTTCCCTCTATTTTTTAATCTTATTTTATGTGATTTTATTTATTTATCTTTAAACTTTATAAATAATAATGTAAATCAATCCTTAAATGTTATACGCTTAATCATGTTTCTGAAAATATAGTATTTAAACTTGCTAATAGTTTGGAAGATTTGGACACTAATAAGTTTAGGTTTCAATTTTTGGGATGTAGAGTATTGGTATATGATAGTTTATTTATTCAAATATCTAAAATCATACACTTTTTCCACAAACAATTCCATAACTCTTGACCTTACAATAATCTTAAATTAGTTTATGAAAATAATTCAAGTGCGTTAGTTTATTTGGGTGCGCTTTAAATAATTAAACATCATGGCTATATTGGTCTCCGTGGCATAATTGTGATATGTAACAAAAAATAAATATTCACACACGTGACTAATTTCAAGGTAACCTTTTCATAAATTTTAGTCAAGCAATAAAAGCGGACATAGATAAAAGATGAGAACCAATAAAACATAAGTTATAAAAAAATAATATAAGCCAAATATAGTCAATAAAGCGACCGTGCTAGAACCACGGGACTCGGGGAATGCCTTACACCTTCTCCCCGGTCAACAGAATTCCTTATTCGGACTTTGTTTTCGCAAACCAATAATAAAAGAGTCAAATCTTCCTTTGAATAGGGATTCAAATAAAAGGTGACTTGGAACACCCAAAAATTCAAATTCCAAGTGGCGACTCTGAATAATAAATAATTCCTACTCAAATTTGTCACTTCAAATGGAAAACTCTTTAAACCCACAATCCATGATATAACGCATCATTATCTTTTGGAGGGGTAAAAAAAAAGGGGGTGTGACAGCTCTGACGACTCTGCTAGGGACATTAATAATTAAGAATTCGAGCTTTGTATATTGATTTTTGTTTGGCTTTTATCATGTTTTGAATATTATTGTGTTTTGAAGCTTAATGTGCTATTTGTTGCTTATTTACCGCTTTAATATTTATTTGAACTGTGATATAAATCGTATCCTCTCTCGCACCCCTCTGAGTCTTCTGATAGGTAGTTATGTTGTGTTTGCCTACCAGCATCACAAAACTTCTGTCTTAAGATAAAGCCAGTTAGCCTACCAGCTTTTGGTGAAGGATTTAGTCACACATGTTTAGGCGTCGTTAGCTAGCCAATGCTGTTCTACTACTGGTGATGCTTAACGCTCCTCGGCTCGGGTTGTCCGTCCGGGTAAGCTAGGTTTAGATACCATCTCCTTTAGGATTTGAAAACTTAGAAGAACAAGCCACAAGCAATGCATATCCCTAGTAGGCTATGCTTTATTTGCATCATGTGCATTGGACTTAGCGAGGCCCGGCACAGGGGCCGGGCCCGTCTAGGACAGGTACCAATTTTTCGGACCAATATGTTCATATTTATGTACCATATGTTTTGGTAGGCTTCACTCAAATGTTGACCAGCTTTAGGATAGAATTAAACAAAGGATAGAGAAAGAGAAAATTTCCAAGTTTTCATAAAATACCATTTTTTTAAATAAAATTTTGAAAGATTTTGGTATGAGAAATTACAATTTTCAAAATATTTTTTTAGCTATTTTCAACCAAACTACGCGCGTCTGATTCTCACCGGATGTGAGATACACAGGCAAACCACATCGGTTCCGACCCCAATTTTCAAAAAATCCAAAAATATTTTCTTTTAGTCCCTTCTTTAAAAATCTTTCCTTAGAAAATTAAAAAAAATAGTTTTTAAACTAAAAAAAAAATATGGTTTCCTTCGTTCTAATGTCTTTCATACGAAAAAAGAAAAAGTCAATAAAAATCAAAATCCAAAATACGGGTTTCCTTCATTCTGAAGTATTTTTCCAAAAAAAAAAAATCAAAAAAAAAATGAGAAACAAAAATCCAAAAAAATACTCTTTAGATGTCTTTCTTTTGTAAATGTCCATAAAAAGTTTGGAAAAATTGAACTCCAAAAATATTTTTTGCTTTTCTTTAGAAGTAGTTTTGTAAATAAATAAAAAGCTCAGAAATTCAAAATATTTTTCTTTAAAAAAAAAGTCCCTCTTTCGAAAATTAAGAGGCAACATCCAAAATAAAAAAAAATAATTTCTTTCTTCCTTAGAAAAAGATAAAACAAGGAAAAATCAAACAAAGATATTTTCTTTTTACTTCTAAAATTTCCAAAATTCAAATCAAAAGCAAATTGAATTTTTTAGAAGTCTTTCTTTCAAAAAATCAAAAATTCAAAAAAAAAATTCATTTCTTCTTTTAAAGCATTTCGAAAAAAATAAAGAAAGGAGAGAGAAAATTTATTCCATTTCCCAATCTTTCCGAACTACGCAAGATCTGATTCATGCGGCGTCATGATACGTAGCCAATCCCCATCGGATTCGATCATAGCCATAGAATTAATTGAATGAAAATTAAACTAAAAGAAATTGAGTTAAAAAAAATAAAAAAAAATAAAAAAATAAAAAAAGAGTGACAAAAAAAAAAGAAAGAAAAGAGAGTGCCAAAAAATAAATGAGCGGCAAAACGAGATGAGAAATCAAGAGTGATCAAAGAGAGGCAGAAATGAAGAAAGTGGTACAGAATGAAAAAGGCGAGTTAAGGCCGGGATGAAACATGCAACCGTTCAAACACACGGTAGAAGCGTTTAACTGTTAGGTGCATTGCATCGCAACGTGTGATATCCTATATGTTAAATGTTTCAAAACTAACAAGGTTGTTGGATGTGCAAACTAGCCAGGTTTTGGTGGTTGGTTTTGTTGGTAGTCTAGCCTCCCCTCCTTCACAAAATCCAAAGGCACAGATGGCCTCCGCAAGCAATCTACCAATTATCGATCCTGAGGATAGCCCGGCACCGGCTATTCAGCAGCTAGAATCAGTAGCTGCTCAAGAGAATAAGATGTTGCATCTCCGCATAATGGAAATGTGGGACGCCTGGTCTAATGGTAGGGAACCGCCAAGTGCAATCCCTGGTTTCTCTGAATTGATCCCCAGGTCAGGTGAGGTTACTAACGCAGGTGAGGTTACTAACGCCCCTGTGCCCAATCCACTCATCCCATGCGGGCACCCTTCAATGCCCTCCAATGATCCTGGCATGCTTTCTGTGGTTCGCCCCCAGGCGCCAGTTTCCAAGGCACCTCCAATGTTCGCCTTTCAGGGTCCACAACTTCAATCAAAAATAACATATGTGACCCCATACTCTTTCACTCAACCTCTGCAATATGACCTCCCGACGGAGCAAGAAAAGGTCGTTGAAAATCCCGAGCAAGAGGAAATTTCTCGGAAGATGAAGAGCCTGGATTAAAGCCTGAAAACATGCAAAGTCTGAGTGGTCAGAAGAGTGTCTCATACTCTGACCTCTGTATGTTTCCCCGTGTCCACTTGCCAGCTGGCTTCAAGATGCCAAAATTTGAAAAGTACAACGGGCACGGAGACCCTGTCGCTCATCTGAAACGATACTTTAACCAGTTGAGGGGTGCTGGTGGAAGAGAGGAGCTGCTAATGGCCTATTTTGGGGAAAGCCTCATCAGAATCGCTTCTGAGTGGTATACGGATCAAGAAATTATTCATTGGCATGTGTGGGATGATATGGCTTGAGATTTTATCCGCCAGTTCCAGTATAATGTGGACATCGCTCCCGACAGAAACACTTTGTCCAATTTGAAAAAGGAAACCGCA